ACCTCTCCTTAAAAGCTCCAGCTCACTCCCCTTCACACAAGTCGGGCATGACGAAGCCCACATCTAGCATTGTAATCTCAAGACCCTTCTGTATCATCCATACGCTATGAGGTCCCTCCATTGCATCCCTATTCCTCTCAGTTGAAACTAGTAGAGGCAAGCCAGCCTCGATACAAATCAGTGCCATATCCACTTTTTCAAACCACCTCCCTGTTTTCTTCCTCAAAGATGATGCCATTGAATGACGACTCCACGGCACTAATGCAGAAAAATATGAGCTTCTCACGTACAATAATCACGAAGAGACAAAAATATGAAAGGAAATACTCACCGAAGCAACAACAACAATGACTGAAAATCTCAAAATAAAATTGTCAAGTGTTTTGGGAGATTATTATAAAGTAGAAAGGTAAAGAATGTTTGATTTCCTCCTTTTATAGGCAGCGTGAGTGGAGCACCACCACTCGATTGAATAAGATTTAATTCTGATCGAATATCTGCATCACCATCAGACACATTAAATTCAAAGGGTGCCTACAACAAAACTCAAATAAACGACTTTGATGGATTCGTGAATCATATGCACTAGGGGCTCGAGTGACCCTACTGGCTGTAACAAACACCATTATTGCGCAATAAATGCACACGTAACACAAAAATTGGAAACCACCAAGCCACGTTGCAGTTGTACCACGGGAATCGACATTTCTTTCAAATCATTAAGACACGTGCCTCCATAACCCTTAGTAATTCAACAACCTTATCATCGACTGCCACTTCACTAATGGGCTCTTCCTCGTGCAAAAGGCTTCGGACAAATTTGCTTCAGCCTTATCATCGCCTACCTCATTACTAATAAGCTCTCCTTTATGCAAAGTGCCTCAACCAAATTTGCTTCAGCCTTATAATCGACTGCCTATTTACTTATGGGCTCTCCATTATGCAAAGGGTCTTGCCAAAGTTCAATTCAGTTTTATCAAAGGCTTCATCTTCTCCAAAAGGCTTACCTAAACGTAAAGGCTTCACCTTAAATCAAGTTTGTAAACTGCTTCAAAAATCTGGTTATATTGTACATTCTAAGTCTACGCATTATATTAATTTTCATACATAGACTTGGAGGACTATTGTTACGCCTCTTTCAAGAAAGCTCTAAACATTGCCAAGTGGCAATTGCACAACAAGAGAACCTAAGCCCGTACTCCACATCATTTTGCACATGTCAATTTGACTGAACCCATACTAGCCAAACCCTATGGGAGCCGAACCCTCATGGATGAGGTGAAGGAGTAAGAAGCATCCTAGAAAAGATCTTCATATAAGATCTTGTAATAAGTGGGTGATGTGATAACTCACTGGATAAGCGGCTATACTCAATCAACAAGTCAAGTCTATTCTCACACGCAAGGCCTAGGGCTGCATATGGTCATAATACTAAATGCACTTAAGCCTAGGTCTGATTGATTGATGCCTATGACAAGAGGCCCTTGTTGCTAAGATGAGGTCACGTGTCTCTTCATCCAACGGTTCTTGCTCATCTTCTTCCACTATAAAAACCTAGGCTTAGCGCCATTTTAAGGTAATGCAAGTTTAGACTCTTAAACTACAACTTGGTCATGACAATATTTTACTCTTTACTCCCAAAACTGACCATCTTTTTACATTGGGGGCTCACGTTTAAAGTCCTCTCACACTTATATATCTACTTCTTCTACTGACTTGATCGTCAGAGTGTGAGCAGACAATTCTACCCCTATTGGAAAGGCCACGTGTGGTTAATGGTTCGTCTTAGCGTTTAGAAACACAGCTTACGTGGATGTTAAAGGTTTTGGAATTTGTTGGCCACGTTGAAGGTATATTTTTTGAAATCAACAAACTGCACTAGGCAGGCTAGGGGTTGGACCATAAAATGGGAACTTGTGTATTTTTCCAGTTGAAGAATTTGGAGTATTTTGAGTTGTTTTATTGGATTTTAATTTAGACCGGTGAATGTTCCATGGTTTTTTATCACAATCACTAAGAAAAGACAAAGTTAAAGGATCGGTGAACAAGAGACGAAAAGAGGAAATCAAAAAAAGTTTGATGGGATTTGTGAATTGCTTAAAAAAAAAAAAAAAAAACACTTGTGAATTGGCGACCTATTTGCAAAAGGTTGACACCGATTTTAATGCCTAAATCTGCGTGTCATTAGTATTGATTTGCTGTAGAGAATTATTGTAATCATTTTCGATCATCGACAACAAGTGTCTGATTATGGTACCAAAGAAGTAGATGATTAAAGCCACCTCTATTGAGATCTCGATTTATCTCAATTTAAGAGAGAGAAGACTAGTGATTGGGGCGGAGAGGAGATGATAGAGATCAATTGTAATTTTTTAGAACAATCTCTCTCCCATTCTGCATGATAATGTAGACAATATATTTTTTCTTCGGTCCCATTTATATAGACTGAATTTTCTTATTTTCTTTGTCCCAATTATATAATCATATTTCTTATACTGAGAATGATTTATTTTGTTCGTTTACTAATATACCATTATTTAATTTGTCTAGTTATAAACAATTTTTCATGCTCAATCTTGAAATTGTATAAATATAAATAAGAGTAAAGTATGAAAGATTTTTGTCTTGCTTTTTCAATAACATTAAATAAGATTTCTTAATCCGTGAAAAAACAAAACAACCCTATATAAATGGGACGGAGGAATTATTGCTATTTTATATTTTAAAAATTAATTATAAACACAATTTTGAAATAATATACTTCAATTCTCATTTTTGGCATAAGAAGTTAGGAAATTGGGATGTGTGTACTTTTCCAATAAAATTTGAGATCGTCTTGAGTTGAGCTTGGAGTTTCGGCTAGGGCCCAAATCGAATCAAATCGAACAGTTCTTCTTAAGTTAAATATCCAAACAAAAATCTGAATCGAAAATCAATGGGTTTGATTCGATTCTTGATTCTAGATCAAGAACCAAAGAACCGAATCTCTCTAATTTTTTAATTAATTTATTTTAAATAGTCATATTATATTATATTTTATAAATAAATTTGCTAACAAGATAATTTAGCCCAAACTCAAAAATATGATTTTCTTATTTTTAATTTTCAGTTCAAAGTTAACTTAATCAGATTATCTAAATTTTATACAAATTTGCTACTCTACCGTAGTGTCATTTTTACTGTTTTGGAGAAATTGAATGAAAGCTCAACAACGCCTCTCTTAATTATTGTGAGCTCGATATTTTCCTGTTTATGTGATTTTAACAATTAAATCTATGAAAAACTTAGCAAAGAGAGACACAAAATACATATAAGATTGGATTACGTTATTTTATAAGAGCTAAAATTGAACATATCATTATTTGAATTAATATATTTTTTTAAATATTACAAAATTTAATTATACTACTGAACCTGAGAACCGAACTCGAACGATTCCATAATTAAATTTGAACCTGACGGTTTCATTGACTAAATACTCGAAAATTTCGAGTTCGGTTCAATTCTCATTAGAACCGAACTGAACCGGACCATGTTCAGTCTTAATTTCGGGTCATGAATTAAAATTCTAAAGATGGTATGTACATAAGGCAAGGCAAGAAAAATAGTTTCGCCCCCACTAATGGCTTAAATTTTGTAATACTTATATGGATTGTGAGACTTAATCTCACCTTTATTTACATTTAAATCATATTAAATTATCTTACCCAAAAAATTAAGAGACTGGATAATAAAGAAATTTATTTATTTACATTGTCTTACATAATTGCTTCATGAATTAATTACATATTCAACATGTTTATCCACGTTCATGTTGGAGCCAATTAGGACATGATATCTTTTGTGCCTATAAGCATTTAAATTGGCAGACACATATTCACACCCTATTCTTTCAGTGCATGTGCAAATAGGAATATTATTTATGCTATTTTCATAAATTCTCCCCTTCAATGTTAAAGGGCATCTAAAATTCCATGTCTATAACACTTGATTAAGTATTCATCTTTGAATTAATTAATTAAGTCCATTTGCCAGCCTGATATTCAAGAAAATCAATTACTTCGTGACAAGTGCGAAATCCCTACTCCATGTGATCCCATTCTAAATACCTCATTCTGCTCAGTACTGTTCAAAACTGCATATGTATAATAAGCACTATCCCACAGGTATCAATATGCAATATACAATATTTTCTTATCAAAACAATGACAAGAAATCTAAGGGCCTTGTTTCATAGGGGGAATTTTCCATGGATAATAATTCTCTATTTTCCACTGTAAGAATTTTCCAACCTTGTTTTACAAAAAAGTTTTAAATTATTTTTTTTCTCAAAAGCGGAACAAATTCTATCCACGATTGTAACAAAATTATATTCCTTTAATTGAGAATTTTCATGAAAAACAAAGTCAAACAAATACCAAAAGATAGAAAATTTCAACTTTTTCCAGATGAAAAATTATACCAGTCAAATACATTTAATTGACAATTCCCAATAAAATAAGTTCTAGGCAATTCAATTTCCCGAAATTCGTTTTCTTTCCACCCAAATTTGTTCAGTATATTCAGAAATACATGACATCAACTCAATACAAGGTGAATTCTAAAAGAACAATTGATGAATGCACAGTTCATCTTTGTTCTAGTTGCAATATCAAGAAAGATAGCAAAGATACCTGAATTTTTGACATTAATCACACACTTCTGTCTACCGTCCCTTAGCACAAGAAAAATGATTTCAGGTAAATCTAAGATAGTACTTGTTACTAGTCTTACATTTATTCTACTCAAGTCATTTCATTGAAACCTATTTAGAGGTCTGGACGAGCCAAGGGAAAGCTCCAGCTTTAGAAGTGATCTGAAGGAAACCTAAAATTCAGATTCAAAATATATAATAACATTGGAAATGGTCGATTCTTCCCGTTCGATTTGATAGTCTTTACTTGAGAGCATGATAGTCAATATTGCATGCGACCAAACATTACAACGAACAAAATCCACCGTCAACATAAAAATGATTTGATTACTTTCATGACATGATAACAAAATACTTGTAAACCAAGTCTTATTGATCAAGCAACAATGTGTCCTGGACAAACTATTAAAGAAATGTTCACGAGCTATTACACATAATAAAAGTCTTCGAGTGACTTGCACCTTATACGCCAAGCAACGACTTGGACAACTCATTTTATCTTATTCTCCTCTGCTTCCATCTGCATCCTAGCACAATACTCGAACAAACTTCCATCATAACAGCGTCTAATTGCTTCCTTAGAAAGGAAACCATCACTGTCCCTAGCTAGGACGTATAGAATCCCCCATTCCATCTTGCTTGCAAACCTACAAATCCAAATTTGGCTCATAATCAAACAAAAAAGAGAGGGTTTACAGCTATGAAACACCGACACGGACAACCAACACGTCCATATGTTGATTAAATTCTTTATTTATATAGTATAAATTTAATTTTATACTTGTTATTAATTTTTCTTGTTGAAATCTTTTAAATATGAGTATCTATTTGTTATTTAATAATAACTATGATTATAAATATATAATATTTCTAATAAGGTAAATAAAATGACCATGATAGAGTGTCGGTATCCAATACGTATCGAACACGGACAAGCTACCCTAGCTGATGTGTTAGTGCCACAGAGGTTTATAGCTTTAGGTCAGTTGTACAAACCATCCAAAGATGTCAAATGCTTGTCTGTTGCCTTCGGTCATATTCCACAGTTCTCCAAGGGTAAGCTTATCTGGTACTGTCTGGGCGTACTTGCTAAACATGTTCTCAAAATTCATGAGGAAGTACCTGCATAAATGAATTCTATGTATAGATGCTCCAAAAGCTACCGTATAGAGTTTTAACTGTGCGTATTGCGTACCTTCCCTCCGTGTCATAGGTTCCAGAATCACTTCCATGCTTCGCCTTATGTATGTTATGTATGTATATAGGAAAGAGAGGAGAAGGTAGCCAACCCTGAAAAAACAATATAATTAGAAGAACCAATAAATATCAGAAGAGAAAGGAGGACACTGAATGCCCACACACACACACACACACACAGAGGAAAGGCTTCGTTTCTATGTCGAATACCATTCCGTCTTCAGACTAGGAAAAAGAGCCAGGAAAAAAAAGCCGTAACATGGAAACTGTAAACCTTAAAACCAACTAGGTAGCTAACTAAGTGACTGAGCATAAAAGGGAAAAAGAAAACTTTACTGAACAATAACTCACCTTTCAAAAAAGTTTCTTTTATTTCGGATGTAACTCACATCTTACAGTAAAAAATAAGTACTAATCTCCGACCTTCACGTATATATATTTTTTTAAATAATAATAATAATTATTATTATTATTATTTCAAAACTTACTTGTGTGCATATAATTGAAATTTCCCATGAGTAAACCTTTTTAAGTTTATGCTTAGCCAAATATGCCCAATACTGATTTTGGCATGAGTTGAATTAATAGAAACTACAATGAATCATTCTGGAAATTGAAGAATTTACAAAAAAATTCATGCTACCCTCTCATATATAGATCCAGCGATAAAGGATAGCTTTTTCTTTTATGATCCACCCAGCCACTTGATAATAAGTATGTTTTCGTATCAAAAAATGGTTGAATATTAACATGAAGGCACAATAACTTACAGGAAGTGTAGGGTAACTCAACCCCACATTAATGACGATAGCAGCTACAAGAGATACTATCATATTGAACCCAATTTGGCGAAATCCTGATAAAATTAAGATGAAATTAGACATATAGTTTAAAGAGAGTGACAGATATACAAGTCACTAGACTCTCCACGACACTGCTGAATTGTACCTCCATGGTCATTTCTGAACAAAGGATTACACATATCATGATTTTTGCTCTAATGTTCCCCATCATAAGTACATATTTGGTACAAAATATTGGACCGAACTGGAGTATAATCATAAGGTTTTATGCCCTGTTTGGTGGGGATGAAAAATCAGTTTTTTAGTAGATTTTGATAGAAGAAGATGAAATGTGTGGTTAAAAAGTTGTGAGTTCTATGAAATGTATGGTTAAAATTAATTGCTGACTTTAAGAATCCACCAAATAGGGTATCTTCTTTTTCTTTTTTAATATGTTAAGTACTACCCAATAAGACATGCATCAATGTATCCAAGGTATCGAATACAAACCCTGTTAAGGTTTGACATGAAATGAGCTACTGAAAGAGAGAGTTTAACTAGGCATCAAATGATATTTACCAGCATACGTCTCCCATGGATAAACAATTCCATTGTCATCTTGGTCAAAGAAAGCACAATGTTGCTGAAGAACGCTGAAGTTGTTATGCACGTGTCCTGGAGTTCCATTGGGATGTTCTGTATCTGGAGCAACTAATGCTCTTGCCATATCTGAATATTTAGACAAGAAGTTTAGATAGTACAGTCACAATGGTGTCGCCAAGTTCTGTCAATGCCAAGATCAGTTGCATAAAATTTGAATAATTGAAGACTTCGGAGAAAGCCCTATAGAATAGAAACTATGCAAAAATATTGAAGATTATAAAATTCAAGCCTTTGGAGAAAGCCGAATAGATAGTACACGAGTTAATTGTTCCAATGATTACTGAACTTAGGTCCATATTTTTTATTAGTCACTGAAATTTAAAATATCGAGTTTTGGTCACTGAACTTAGGTCAATATCTTCGATTACTCATTGAACTTAAGTTTATGTCTTCAATTGCTCACTGAAATTTAATGTCGAGTTTTATGGCCATTGAACTTTGGAATATGCCGTATGTTACTCACTAGCATAACTGTTGAACTTCGAAAAATATCGAGTCTACAGTGAGTAATGTACAACATTCTTCAAAGTTCGATAAGTAATGTGCAACATTTTTCAAAGTTCGATAAGTAATGTGCAACATTTTTCAAAGTTGGGTGGCCAAAACTCGACATTTTAAATTTCAGTGAGCAATCGAAGATATGAACCTAAATTCAGTGACTAAAACTCGACATTTTAAACTTTAGTGACCAATTAAAGATATGGATCTAACTTCAGTGACCATTGGAACAATTAACTCGATAGTACACATATATATGATTATGAAGGGTGGCTCATGCAGACAATGAGCCTCTCTTGTCCGGCCATGCTTTCTATTTGATGAGCCTACTCTGTCTGCCAAACTTCTACAACTCTACTTAGGACCTGTTTGGCATGGTTTTTGAGCAGCCAAAAGAAGCTTTTGTGACCCAAAAGCTAATTTTTTATCCTTTCGATTAACTTAATAAAGATTATTCTTCTAATTAAAAAGAACTTTTAAACGAAGTTGACCAACGTGACTTCCTCCAACCTTTCGAAAGAGGAAGCTCTTTAAAAAATTAATTTTCAAAAACAAAAAAGTGATTGAGGTGAGACAAAAGTCCAGCCAAACGATCCCTCTTACTAGTTAAAGCACAAGAGAGATCTCCCGAAGAATGGTAGCCCACAGTCTACGGAATAACTGTAAAACCTCAGAAATTCCTAGTTAGCATCAATAACACTATTTTAGCATCGCATTTGACAATACAAATTGGATCTTCCTTTCTACAGGACTCAAATTTCGCCTCTCTTATAATTAACAAACCAAGTTCTACGAATCTATCTTGGCATCGGGGAGACGATGAAGACAAGTTAAAAATATCAAGAACGCCATAAAATAAAGCAGAAAATCCGATCCTTCATCTGCCCATATGTAGAAAATATGGGAAAATCTATATTCTAAACAGAAAGAAACAGAAAATTCAAAATTGCACATCAAAATTCAAAAATAAATAAACCAACTGAAGAATACAATGATTCATCCTTGTACTCATATATGACACAAATCATCAATATTCTGCAGAACTGGCACATAAAAAGAGGGTAAAACTTACAGGGTTTCGGGATAGAGGTTTCCAAATCAGTCCGGACCGGACGCTCAATCGTCACCGGAGCAAGCGGGGCCTCCGTCGACAATGCAGCGCTTTTCTCCACTGCACCAGCTGCCATTTTCCCTCGATTACTTGCGAATTTTCACGATTGGATTCTATGAACGATTTTCTCCTTACAGACCATAGATATGAAAATTGGTTATGGAAAACGTTAAATAGCGGAATCAGGAAGCGGTGAGAGAGTGAAGCTTACAAACAGCGTGGCAATCATGCAATGCATCCCCCTTACAAGTTCGGCGCCGCGTGACATTCAGGCCTTAGGCTTGCGACACGTACCTTTGACAAGTGAATAATACTACGCACGACTCATTCTTCATGGAGTGTGCAAAGTTCTTTTAGGGACGTTTCGTGGTATAATTAAGCCATGTTTGAGGGTCAATTTTTGAATAGTATTTTTGAGAGAATGTATAGTTAAAAGTGAAAAAAAATTAAATTTATCTGTAAAATATTTTATTATGTAAATGTGTGGTCGAAAATAAGTATGAAAAATAAAACTAGTATTAAGCTTATGTTTATACACACCTCCCAAATATGAACTCTAATTAATTCGACTGCTTATCTTCCTTCAATGAACTTTTGAAATTATTCGCTATATGGGTCATGAGATAGTTCTAGATGGTATTATTTATTCATCATTTTATAAATTAAAAAATTAGTAAAATTGATACACATAAATTTACTTGCAAGTACCTAATGTATTTACCTTATGTGACATGGGTCGACTCTCTAAATCATATAACAAGACTTTTTCACATCTCTAGGTTAAAAAAAAGGTTGAACCCTAATCTTGAAGGCCCCCACTGTCCCTCCCTTAGATCTTTGTGAGGGAGGTAAATGGCGAAATGTGCCCCAACAGGTCAGGGAACAAAAGTTGCTTGTACACTGCGCCTACAAGGAGTCCAATTCCATGTCTCAGGAATCAAACCCCCACACTGCGGCTGCCAGCAAGGCGTGAGATAACCTCACTCTTGTCCTTTGCACCACTGGACTATGCCCCAGTGGACTTTTCACATCTCTATGTTGCATCTATGGATGGTGACAGAAGCTAGCCTAGAGAACCACCCCCAACGACGAACAAGGCGGGTCACTAGACGTCGACGCGAAGCCATCGACCCCCCAGGGAGGCTTTACCTTTACGCGAGGCCATCGACTCCCGAGGGCGCTCTACCTCTACGCGAGACCATCAACCCCCGGGGGCGCTCTACCTCTATGCGAGGCTATTGACCCCCCAGGGCGCTCTACCTTTACGCAAAACCATCTACCCCCAGAAGTGACCTATGTGGCCACCCCAACACTTAGTCAAAAATCTCAGGTAAATTGACAAAACTCCATGGCGGTTATTATGGGCACAATCTCTAGGCGGGAAGTTGGGTTAGTTGGGAAGCCAACGTGGGAAACGTGGCACCACGATCGCCCGGCACTCACTCGGATTCCAGCACCTATAAATATCCCCGAAGGCGACACAGGCAAGGGGTTTGACATTTTTTTAGTTATCTAAATTCCATCCTTATTTCTCCTAACACATATACTGATTCTCACGACGGAGGTATAACAAGGGAGAAAGCCTCGTCCTCACTTGTCTGGTTATACACACTCGTCGGTGTAGCAGGAATGCAAACAGCCACCAGGTAGATTAGGAGGTATTATTCCACCACCATTTCATTGGTTCGTCTGTGGGAAGTTTCTTCCATTGAACACCAAAGCCATGTCAAGAAAACGAACAAGAAGTGACGCGCTTGAGAGCAGCAATGGCGGAGACGGAGTCGGAATCGATCACTAGGGGCCTCGACCTGCCACCGTCGTCGCAGTACGTGACATAAAGCCAGTTCAGTGCCCTGGAGACCCAGCTAGCGACTATGATGACCTTCTTGCACAATCAAACACGGGGAGCCACCCTCCCACCTCATTCGGTGGAAGCCGCGCCACTACCCCAGGAGGCACACATAGAAACTCCGCCTATCATCCAATTGATAACTGCAGGCTCGGGAGCTCCAGGGGCTACAGTCTTGCAGCCTAACCCACCCATGGCGGATTTGGAACGGAGGATGGAGGAAATCATGACACAGAAAATAGATGATGCAATATCAAAGAGAAAGGATAAGCGTAGGTAGATGGTCTTCGAAGAGGACCCATTCACTCCTGAAATTATGGCAATCCCCTTGCCTAAGGGCTTCAAGCAGCCTATGATAGAAGCTTACAACGGGGTCACAGATCCACTTGACCATCTCCGGACCTTCGTTGATTTAATGAGGCTCTATGCAGCACCTGATTCAGTCATGTGTCGGTCTTTCTCCCCGACCCTCAGGAGAGAAGCCAGAGACTAGGTGGCGACACTTGCCCCCCGATCTATCCGAACATTTGATGAACTTTCCAGGAGCTTTGTGGCCTATTTCCTCAGTAGTAAAAGAAAGAGGAAGACGGCCATCAAGCTAATGTAGGTGGTCCAGGAGAAGGACGAGTCTCTACAAGAGTATATGGTCAGATTCAGCCGAGCGACCCTTGGAATAGAGGATCTTCAAATGTCAGCAGTGGTGACTATCTTGATGAACGAAACTTGAAACCGGGCCTTCAAAATGTCACTTTCCAAGAACCCCCTAGAGTCAATGCACGACCTATTGAAAAAGGGAGACAAGTATGTTGAAGTTGAAGAAGCGGAGAAGGTCACAAAACACCTCGGAGATGGATGGGAAATGGAAAGTCACAAGCGAAAGGTGGGAGACGAGCTAAAATCTGCCAACAAAAATAAGTCAAGTAGTGAGTAGACGGATAAGGGAACCATCTAAGACCGACAAGTCAGGCAAAATTGGGAGGAGCCCAGGACGTTCACCCCTTTAAACACCCCGCGCGCAAAGCTATTGATGGAGATACGAGATATGAAGGAGCTCGAGCGCCTCCTAAGACGAGGGCTCTTGCGCAAATATGTGAAGGACAACTGGGGTAAACAAAAAGTGGATGGCTGCCCTCCGCCTAGGGCAAGAGTGATAAACGTGATTGCAAGGGAGATAGCAGGAGGCGGAGATTCAAACTCAGCAAGGAAAAGCTATGCGCGTTCTCTTGGGATCTGTTCCATCCAAAGAAAAGTAAGGTTTAGTCAGAACATCACTTTTGGCGAAGAAGATTTGGTAAGCGTACCCCACCCCCATGACGATGCCTTGGTGATAGTAGGCAACACAGCTGATTTCGACGTCAAGAGGGTGCTGGTTGATGGAGGAAGTGCTGCAAATGTACTTCATGTGATGCTTTTTTGGCTTAAAGATCTCCCCTGACAAGTTGAAAACAATAACCACCCCCTTATAGGGCTTTGGAGGGGCCACGGTAATTCCGAAAGGGACCATGGAACTCCCTGTCACGCTCGGCACATATCCGGTCGCTGTGGTAATTGTGGCAAGCTTCTTAGTTGTAAAAACTCTCATAGCCTATAATGCTACCTACAATTGGCCATTGCTGAATGTAGCTGGAGCCATCCCCTCGACTTATCACCAGGTCATGAAATTCCCAACCAGCAGGGGAGTTGGGTATGTGCGAAGGGACCAGCAAGCATCCAGGAAATGCTATGTAGATAGTATATCAGTGAAGGGAATACCATCAGTCATGATGTTGGAGGTTGAACCTCCGAAGGGGCGGATCGAACCACTTGACATGATTGAAAGGATCTCTGTATCAGAAGGATGTGAGTTTAGCATCGGGGCAAGTTTGGAATCTGATGAAAAAGGAAAGTTGGTAAGGTGTATGGCAGATAACCTAGATGTTTTCGCGTGGAGCCCGAACAACATTACTGGGATCAGCCCAGCCATCTCTCAACATCGCCTCGGCGTCCTCCCCGGAGCTAAACTGGTGAAGTAGAAAAAGAGAAACCTCGCCTGCGAAAGGCAGGAAGTGGCAAAAGCGGAGGTAGAAAAGCTACTGCAAGCTGGTTTTATTCGAGAAGTGCAGTATCCTGAATGGTTAGCCATCATCGTATTAGTGAAGAAGTCAAACAGAAAATGGCGCATGTGTGTAGATTACACCGGGCTCAACAAAGCATGCCCAAAGGACTCATATCCACTCTCCCGAATAGACTACCTGGTCGACGCCACGTCATGTCATGAAAGACTTAGCTTCCTGGATGCATTTTTTGGGTACCATCAAATCTCTATGGCTGAGCTCGACTAGGAGAAGACATTATTTATCACAGATTCTTGGACATATTGTACACGGCCATATAGTTCGACCTCAAAAATACAGGAACAACCTACCAAATGATGGTGAATAGAGTCTTTCGGGAACTGATCGAAAGTGTCATAGAAGCCTACGTCGACAACATGGTAGTGAAAAGTGTCAAGGCTATCTATGATGTGGATTGTCTACAGAAAGTATTTGATTTGGCCCGACACAATAACTTGAAGTTCAACCCGGAGAAGTGTGTCTTCGGTACTGTCTGCGGGAAGTTCCTAGGCTTCATGATCACCCAAAGAGGAATTGAGGTAAACCCTGACAAGATACATACGATACTAGAAATGAAGAGCCCTACTAGTAAGAAGGAGGTTTAGCGGCTGACAGGGCGAGTGGCAGCCCTCAATCGCTTCATGAGTCGGGCGGCGAATAAGTGCTACCACTTCTTTAAAGCTATAGGGGGCTCCACCAATTTTGAGTGGACTCAAGAGTGCGAAGAATTGCTGGAATCCTTAAAAAAGTCACTATAGCAACCTCCTATTCTGACCAACCCATGCCGGGGTGATGTATTGTGTCTCCACCACGAGCAATTAGCGTCGTTATTGTGAAAGAACTCCCAAAGGCACAAAAACCGATCTACTACATCTATCAGGTCCTCAAAGGCGCAGAGACAAGGTACAGTCTGGCCGAACAGCTGGTGCTCGAGTTGATTATTGCAGCGAGGAAGCTTAGACCTTACTTTCAATCCCATACGATGCAAGTAATGACTGAACAACCCATCAAGCAGATCCTACATAGACCGGAAACCTCTGGGAGGCTACAAAAATGGGTGATCAAAATAAGTGAGTTTGACATTGAATTTATACCCAGGACGGCCATCAAAGCACAGGCTCTGGCAAACTATATTATCGAGCTCACCATCCCGACAGAGCCCCCAGAAGGGCAGAAGGCATATTAGAAAATCTTTCTAGACGGTTCCTAGAATGTAAAGGGATCAGGAGCAGAAATCATAATGATCGGACCAAACTCTGAAGAATTAGAATACTCGCTGCGATTTGAGTTCCCTGCTACCAATAACAACGTCGAGTATAAGGCAGTCATCACAGGTTTGGATTTGGCAGCAAGGCTGGGAGTGACTTCAGTGGAGG